CCTTCAAATGCAAGTCTAAGTCGAGTCTAAAGTCATTAAATATGAGACTTAAGTGCGACTCAAGTACGAGTCACAAACTCGAGTCCCCATCTCTGACCTACAGAGCGTAATTTAGCACCGCTGCCTACTGGTGGTGACCCTGCCATGCCTTTTATAACCATAGTTTACAAATCTTCTGATGGCTACTTCTAACAGGATAATGCATGATGCCATAAACCTCAGATCGTCTCCAAAAAGTTTCTTAAAAAATAACAATGAATTTGTGACCCTGACAGCCATTTGAGATAATGGACAAAAATCCTGAAGGAGGAAGTCCAGCTATCAGTCGTTAAGCTTAAAAAAACAATATGGTTTCTAACTTAAAATAAAGGTTTTAGAGCAGCTTTGTCAAAGTGTGAACTTGATGTATATTGCGATACTATGTTTTATCTGAAACCAGGCTGTTTGTGCTCAAAAACCCTTCTGTGGTTCATCCAAAGGGAGACTCAATCACTGTCAATTATGACAGAAATTTGAGGCACAAGCTGTCATTAGGTTTAGGAGGCCATTACTTTTCACATTGGGTAAGGTTGGATCAAATAGCTTAAATTATCATTTAAAACTTGCTTTTAGGTAGATAACCCAACAGAAAATACAAAAAGCAAGTTTTAGATGATCTTTTTTGTTAGACAAACCAAGCTTGGCCTAGATAAATAGATAGGATAGATAAATAGATAGACAGATCTTAAATGTTTATTTTTTCTTATTTTCAGGATGTCAGTGAGTTTTCCCACAAATTGCTCGACTGGTTAGAGGATGCGTTTCAACTAGCAGCAAATGGAACGTAAGTCAGTAGTTAGAGCTGTCAGCATCAGCCAGGACTGTTGTTCTTCATGAATCAATGGACCAAATATAACTTTCACATTAATAATCAGGAATGCAGAAGACAAGCAGCAAAACCCACTGGTCCAACTTTTCTACGGCACCTTCGTGACAGAGAGGCGACATGAAGGTATGTCTCTATAAGACTCCGTTTCATCATGCTGTCGCCCACTGAATGTTTGTTTTTTTGTGCATTTGTGTGTTTGGATTCAGGCAAGACTCTGTACAACATTGAGCAGTTTGGTCAGTATCCTCTGCAAGTCAATGGCTTCAACAACCTTGATGAATGCCTGGAAGGCGCGATGGTTGAGAAGGAGATCGAATCGCTGCACTCGGATCATGTGGCAACATCTGGACGAGAGGTGAGCCTTTTAAATGACTAATTTTAGTAAAGATTAAACACTGATTGTTTTGTAAATACCTGCCCCTCTAAGAATCTTTTGTCTTTTTCGGCCTGCAGAGATGGTTTAAAAAACTACCGCCGGTCCTGACCTTTGAGCTGTCTAGATTTGAGTTCAACACTCAGCTCGGGCGTCCTGAGAAGATACACAAAAAATTAGAGTTTCCACAAATCGTCTACATGGACAGGTAACTCAGCCATCTAATTGGATCTAATCTTACAGAGACACTTACATATATATATATATATATATATATATATATGT